ATGCAGAGGCATTACTTTGCCAGTAAAGGTCCATCTAGTCAAGGCTATGGTTTTTCCAGTAGTCATGTATGGATGTGAGAGTTGGACTATAAAGAAAGCTGAGTGCCGAAGAATTGATGTTTTTGAACTGTGGTGTTGGAGAAGACTCTTGAGAGTCTCTTGGACTGCAAGGAGATCCAACCAGTCCATCCTAAAGGAAATCAGTCCTGAATATTCATTAGAAGGACCGATATTAAACCTGAAACTCCTGTACCTGATGGGAAGAACTGACTCATTGGAAAAGACCCTGATGCTGGGAAAGATTGAAGGCAGGAGGAGAACAGGATGACAGAAGATGAGATGGTTGGATGGCATCACCGACTCAATGGACATGAGTCTAAGTAAACTCTGGGAGTTGGTGATGGACAGGAAGGCTTAGCATTCTGCAGTCCATGGGGTCACAAAGGGTCAGACACGACTGAGCAACTGAGCAACTGAACTGAACTGAATCTTCACTGCGGCAATATTTACAATAGCCATGACATGGAGGCAACACAGATGTCCATGGACAGATGCAAGGATAAAGAAGCTGTGGTACATATATGCAATGAAATATAGCTCTTATTGCTTTTTTGCTAAATTGTGTCTGACTCTATTGCAACCCCAACAACTACAGCTCGCCAGAATCCTCTGTCCATGGGATTTCCCAGGTAAGAATACTGGGGTGTGTTGCCACTTCCTTCTTCATGGTATGTTCCTGACTCAGACTGAACCAATGGCTCCTGCATTGGCAGTCAGATTTTTTTTACTACTGACCCACCAAGGAAGCCCAGTGGAATATTACTCGGTCATAAAAAAGAACAAAATTGGATCATTTGTAGACATGTGGATGGACAAAGAGAGTGTCATACAGAGAGGGGAGTCAGAAAGAAAAAAGCAAATATTGAATATTAACATATATATGTGGGATCGAGAAAAATGGTATAGATCACCTTATTTGCATAGCACAAATGAAGACACAGATATAGAGAACAACTGTATGGATACCAAGGGGGAAAAGGTTAAGGTGGGAGAAATTGGAATATTGGGATTGACACATACACACTATGGATACTATGTATGAAATAGACACCTGTTGGGAATATACTGTATAACACAGGGAACTGTATTTAATTCACTGTAGTGTCCTCAATGTGAGGGAAATCTAAAGTGACGGGATATACGTGTATGTGTGTCTGATTACTTTTATTATGAAACAAAAGCTAACACACCATTGTAAAGTAACACACTGAAATAAAAATTAATAAAGTAAAACAAATATATTCTTCTGTTTTTGCTGCCATGAATTCTAAATAGTGACTGAAAATGTACTTTTATTTAAACATTCCTTGAATTTCCAAAGAAAAATGCAAACTACATCAGATTTTTCTTTCATAGCTGTTATTTAGAACAATGTTTTTACATGTTAATATGTTATCTTTCAAAATGTGAATATCATACAAAGGGAAGTATGATTTATAACTTTAAAAATTTTTCTTCTTTACTATAACTGTTTTTACATTCCTAGTTAGTAAGAAGGAGCAAAACATGCCATCTCAAAATGTCTTTTTTGATATGCAGACTATTTCTAATTGAAAACAATCAAGGCCAAAAGACGCAGGAAGGAACTTGACCTTCTGCCTAACTGTTAAGAATTTAGACAAAGGTCCTCTTCCTTGCATAGAACTGTGACCAAAGATATCTGCAAAGATTATGGGCAAGAGGTGGTGGGGAAATCTTGGCAGAGCATTTTGGCTGATGTGGATTTAATTATTGTTTGGAGTTGCATATTCTCTAATATAGGGGGGAAATAAAATTATATATATGATGGAAGTTTCTTATCTTTTGGGGTCAAAATCATCTTTGTAATAACTGCCATTCATTCAAAGTACCAAAGCTTGTCTCATACTGTGCCAGGTGATTTACATACATCACACGTGTCTGTGGTCCTACACTATAGACTTTTTCAAACTCAATTTGCAGATAATGAAGCTGAAATAAAGAAGCTCAAATTCAAAGCTCATAAATGACAGGAGTTGGACTGAACCCCAGCACCGAATTCCTCTAGAGCCCATACCATGCCACTCCTCCAGGATGAGGCCAACCTTGGGTCACTTCCTCTTTCTGAACACTAGTCCAAAAGGTATTTCACATGTTAAATAGCAGAATTTCATACCCCAAACAGTTTTGCAATAAAAAGCCCCAGAAATAAGTAACAAAAATATGAAAATAAAAGTGAAGTATGAATAAAGAAGGAGACGGCATTCAGTGACAATTTATCTACAAAGGAAATGTCAGTAAACCACAAAATATCAGGGACGCACAAAATCATTTAATTCAACCCCTTCCTTTCAGAGAGTAAATCTGTTAGAGTGCAGGTTCTATAAGAGGCTGTGTCTGGTCAGTGAAGAGAAGGAAAAGCTCAGTGTGTTTTCTCTGATAGCACACCACCTATGTTGGAGCCCCCTCCCTGACTGCAGCTTCCCCATCACTCCTGGGACTGAACCCATTCTCCATGAGATTTGTTGCAGGGAGACTAAGACTTTTCAAAGACTTGGCAATTCCCAAGAAGTCTTTCATAGAAGAGACAGGAGTCAAGGTGAAGACTGATGATTGAGGACTGAGGAGACAAAAACCACATCATAACTGAAGTCACAGAGAGACTGGCCTGTGTCTGCTCTCAGAAGGCCAAGACAGGGCTGCCAGGCTGAGCATCCCCTCACTTCGTTTCAGGGCTTGCAAGGACATGATTTTTGGTCTACATGGGTTACCGTAAGTTGAAATAAAGGAGAAATCCAGAGCCCTCCAGGAGTCAAGGTGAGGAACCTAAGTGAGGGCATACACCAACGCTGAACAGAGCAGGCCCCAAGAAGCCTGAATCCTGATATCATCCCTGAAAGGGCACAGGTAAGAGTAGCCTCGTGTGGCATTCCCAGACTTTCCCTCTCTGGCACCACAGGAGTGAGGACCTTACTATGAGGAGAGCTCCCTTAAACAAAAGGACAAAGAAAGGAGCCCCAAACTGTGCCAGGAGTCAAGTTTTGGACTTATGAAACCCCCTGACCTCAGAACTCTGAGGAAACCCCACAGAAACCTGCCCTTCCTGGCATCCCTGGGATATCTGCCCATTGTTGACATGACATTCCCATGTCCATCCATGATGTCACAAGGGGTTCTGGGACATTGTCCAATGGGTATAGCCTAGGGCCAGCAGTGGGATGATTTCCAGGTTTTCCAGAAACCAAGTGAATACCCTGAAGACAAGGGGACCCACACACCTATAACCATAGGATTCATTTTGTCCTCTGAGCCTCAGAAGACCAAGGACAGGCATGGACAGATGAGGAGAATCTTACTTCCTCCCAGGGGTCTCGTGTTGGTGCACACTTTAAGGGGTAGGCCTAAGGGCAAGGGAGGGTAGAATTTCAAGCCATGACAGAGGTCAAAGCAAGGACTAAGGCATCATCTACTAATAAAGAGAAGTGATAATGAATCCAGCCCTGCTCCTTGTTATAGCCCTTGAAGAACCAGGGCAGAGCTATCAAGCTGAAGTTCCATCAACATTTATTCATATCAGTTCTATAGAAGGCGATATCCTTAGTTTGAAGTTGCAGATACCACTCCAAGAAAGGGGGTGGAGGCACCAGGCTCTATGGGGAGAGAAATGAAGGACTTCTTCATGAGTAATGAGGACTCCAGAGGCCAGGACAGAAAACTTTCCACTGAGCACTCAGTACTGGGTTATAAGAACTGACTGGGGTGATAAGCTGAGGACCCCTTCACTTCTCAGAAATCCCAGGGAGATTTGTGATGCCAACTACAGAACAGCAGAGGGAATGGGTCCTATGACTGGCCACCGGTTGGTTGATTATTTTGAATGTGAAATAAAGAGACTTCTCAGTGTGGGAGACTACCATCCCATTCTGTCACCCCAGCGTGCCTAGGTAGGGGTAGCAGGATTTAGCACAAAGATCATTCTACTTTCCTTCAAGATGTTTCTCAAAGGACAGGCTGATTAGGAGAATAGGAACCCTGGGGGTTTTCAGAACGGTGCCCTCAAGAAAACCACAAATGTAGCCTTCCTGATAACCAAGGTGGTATTTCCCTGTGGCGGCTGCACACTCAACCTTCGTCATCCTGCAGGCCCTTATCACCTGCCCTCCAACTCACATTCCTAATCACTGTCCCCCAGCACAGTCATCATGCCTTGGTGTCAGAATTGTAAGCTCCACATCCGTGAGAAATGTCACCAGGCCCGAGATGAGTCTCAGTGTCACAAGGGAGTACAGGCTGCTGCAGTAATGAAAGATCTTCCCTCTACCTTTTTTTTCCCAGAAGATACTTCACAGAGCTCATCAGCTACTGGGTCAAATAGCACTTCCCAGGGGTCTTCGGAAGCCCCATCTACTACCAGCACTTTTCCAAGTACTTCTGTCACACCTGATGAGGAAGATACCAGTCAAGATGAGGAAGATTCACGTTCCTCTGATGTCTCATCTTCTACTGCGAACACCTACAGTGATATTCTGAACAGCATGGTGACTTTGTTGGAGCAGTTCCTTCTGTATAAGTATAAAATGAAGCAACCCATCATGAAGGAAGACATGCTGAAGATAATCCACCCAAGATACCATGACCAATTTGCCGAGATTCTCAAGAGAGCTTCTGAACACATCGAGGCTCTCTTTGCAGTTTACTTGAAGGAAGTTGACTCAACCATCCACTCCTATGACCTTGTCAGAAAACTGAACCTGCCCAACAATGGCAGGGTGTGGGATGGTAGGGGCTTACCTAAGACCAGTCTCTTGATGATAGTTCTGGGTGTCATCTTCGTGAAGGGTGACTGTGCCGCTGAGGAAGACATCTGGAGATTCTTGAATATGATGTGAGTATATGCTAGGAGAAAACACTTTATCTACGGAGAGCCCAGGAACCTCATCACCAAAGACGTAGTTGCAATGAAGAACCCCGAGTACCACCAGGTTGTCAGCAGCAATCTTCCACGTTACGAGTTCCTGTGGGGCCCAAGAGCCCATGCTGAAACCAGCAAAATGAAAGTCTTGGAATTTTTGGCAAAAGTCAATGATACGGTTCCCAGTGCCTTCTCATCACAATATGAAGAAGCTTTGCAAGATGAGGAGGAGAGAGCTCGAGCCACAGACAGGCCTGGTATGACTGTCACTTCCAGGCATGTTCCATGGCCATGTCCAGCAGCTTCTCCCACCCATACTGAAGACCAAGACTTTTAAAAAATCATCCAGATAAGAACATTTGACATCAAAATAGGGACTTTTGTTGAAATGGGAAGCAATCCCACAATAAAACTGCTGGGATAATGGAATGAAAAAATAAAATTTCAAAACATGATCAACCTTGATTTTTCTTCATTTCTTCCATCTTTTGTATTGTAGAATTAAATAATTTAAACCCTGATATGATTAACTGATTAAAGAATGTAGCAGGTGTTAAACCTTAACAAGTTAGACCTCTTACTGTCTTCATTTATTTTTTCAGCATCTGCTCTTTGAAAGGCTCTATGCTAGTTCTGGTGAGGCTAAGATCAAGACCTAGCCTATGCCCATACAACAGGAGAGACAAGGAACTGCAATCATATAAGGAAGATGTTGAGATAGCCTTTATGCCTGACAGGACAGTAAAAAGACAATCCAGGAAGAAATCTCTACCTGGGGCGATGTACTGATTTGTGAGGCTTTCCACAACAAAACCCCACAGAATGGGTGGCTTAAATAACTGAAATTTATTTTTTCACAATTCTAGAGACTGCAAGTCCAACACGAGGGTTGGTTTCCCTTGAGGCCTCTCCCTTTGGCGGCCATGTGGCCGCCCTCTTCACTTGGAATTCCTTTTGAGTGCATATACCCTGGTGCCTCCTTTTGTGTCCCAATCTCTTCTTATAGTGACAATATGTTATGGCCCACCCTAATGACTTCATTTTAACTCAACCATCTCCTTAAAAACCTTATCTATAACTACAGTTGCATTCTGAAGTATTCTGAGTTATGCCTTCAATATGAAATTTTGGAGGGAACGCAATTTGGCCCCTACCAGACAGAAATCTAAGGTGTCTCTGCTCTTATCTCAATGCAGGAGATTCCAGTGCACAGACAGGTATTCTACGCACACTGTCTCCAGGGAGTTTCTGAGATATAAGGGTGAACTCGCTTGAGGTGTGTAGGGAAGGAAGAAATTCCTCCCTTTACCCCTTTTGAATTCTTGTGGTTAGACTACTAATAAAGTTGACACAAGAGGGTAACAGGAGAAAAAGAGACAAATGGCAATTCATGTACATCGAAGTGTCATAGAAATGGGACCTAAGAAGTGGGCAAAGCAGGCAGCTTCTTTATTTTTTAGAGAATGAAACAAGTTGTGAGGAATGGGCAGGACAAAGAAACTTACATTTTTGGTAGTCAGTTAGTAAGGAATCTAAACAGAATCTGGACTCAGGGTAGTAAATTAAAGACTTAACAAAGTTTGTTTATACAGGCTTCTCTGCTTGAACCACCTATTTCTGGTTGGAAGGGTGTCCTTCTGCCTCCAGATGCGGAACTGTATCATTCATAGGAGAGATTAATTTCCGGCTCTCAAGGAAACAGAAACAGGAGCAGAATGTCCCTCCTCTGTTGGCTGTTTCTTAAGTAACTTGAATTCAAAATAATTAATATGTCACTGTGGTGTATTTGGGGGCAGCCTACTCTAAGCCTTAACAGTGCCCTCCTCTGAAACTTGACTGCAAGTTTCACATATTAAAAGTTGAACTGGTCACTGTGGAGAGAGAAAATGGATTAGTGAAGTCCTTAATTTCATAGAAGCAGTTTCTTACTTCTGAGAACAGGTCAGTTAATTTAAAGAGTGGTATCTCATTTCAATAAGCAGTGATTCAGATGGGCTCCCAAAGTTAGGCCTATGGTGTAAGCAGTATCAGGTATTTATTAATAAGAGGCGTTTCTATGAAAACAAAAGAAAAACAGACGTTAATGATTGGAGCTGGTTATTAAGCAGTTTCTGAGACCAGGGGCAGTCAGTCAAGAAGATTTCTAGGTGTCAGGGTCGAAGCATCTATTGCAGTTTGAAATGTCTCGATCACAGTTACCAATACCTCTTGGTGTTCAGGTTAACTTTCTGAGTGGCTCATCTAGCGATAGGCATGAAGACTGCTTAAACATGAGCTGTTGCGGCAGTTACTCTGATCTTTGTATCATGTCATCTAGCTTCAGTTTGCAGGTATTGAGGAAAAGGTCAAATTTAGTTCTCAGTGATTCAAGTCAAAAGAATGGGAGAGTGAGCAGATCAAGATGGCAGAGGAGTAGTGCACGGAGCTCACCTTCTCCCCACAGATACATCAAAATGACGGGAAAAAATCTGAAATTTTAGTTTAGAGAGTTGCAGCTAGATATTGAAGGAAAATAGAAAAATTCAGGATACAACCCAGTTAACAGATAAATAATAAAACTTCAAGGAAAAGTAATACCACTAGAATCTATTACACACGTGTGTAGCACACTTTCTATGGAAACAATTTTTCTCTCTAAAATCTCCCTTATTTCTACCAAAGATAGCAAAACTAAGACCTAATTTAATTGCAAAAGAAGTCTAAATTCAATAAAGTTGACCTCATTATTTATCTAAGTACAGCAAGAATAACAATTGGCCATACATATAGGCGCTTTTAAATCTGCTTTGCTGAACTATTCATAAGGAGTCTCCAGAAGGAAATTTTAATACCCTCTTGAGGCTAGAAAGCCACACTAAAAACTTTTTGTCAGATCTAGAGATCTCGGTGAATTCTCTCTTCCTGAAGTCCCCAGAACATCCTAAAAGTCCTATGGCCTGCCAGAAATGACTTTCCTAACTCACCTGGTAAGGCTGCTGGAAACTCTGTCAGCAAGGTCCCAGGCTGCTTTTCCAGCGGGTTTTATCATTCCATAAGGTTAACATTAGTTTCCTCAAGTTTTCTGGTCATATTCACGTCTACCTGTGTCTCTGTCAAATATGACATTCCAGTCAAAGTCTCTGTAGTGTAATCAATGTTTCCAATTGTGTCCTGCTATAAGACCAGATTCTTACTGAACTTATGAAAACAACTATTTTGCTAAGGAAATAAGAACACATAGACTTTCTAATTTCTAGAGTGATCAGGTAGGGAGAGAAAAATTAATGTTTCACTTCTAATGACAAATATACAATTTATCAAATTGCTGTGTTAAAAAATTTCCTTATATCTAGAAAATGAAAGATTTTTAAAAGTCAGGAGAAAACAAGACGGCAGAGGAGGAGGTGGATGTGGAGTACATCTCCCTCCACACATACGTCAGAAATAAACCTTCAAACACAGAAGTGCATGCAGAACACCAGCTGAGAGCAGACAGGAGTACCTGACCAGTGGAAAAGAATATATAGAACCATGCGAAACCTGGTAGGACAAAGGAACTAGGGGGGAAGACACAAATAGACTGAAAGTGAAAAAATGGAAAAATATATTCCATGCAAATGGGAAGCAAAAGAAAGCTTGAGTAGCAATGCTCATAGCAGAGAAAACAGACCTTAAAGTAAAGAAAATTACAAGAGATACGGAAGGATACTACATAATGAGCAAGGGATCAATCCAAGAGGAAGTCAACAACTGTAAATATCTATGCTCCCAACATAGGAGCACCTCAATACATAAGACAAACACTAGCAGACATAAAAGGAGAAATTAGCAGTAGCACAATAATAGTAGGAGACTTTAACATCCCACTCACACCAATGGACAGATCATCAAAGCAGGAAATTAATAAGAAAACACAAGTCTTAAATGATGCATTAGATGAGATGGATCTCATTGATATCTTCAGGCTATTCCATTGAAATGCAGAAGAATACACCTTCTTCTCAAGGGCACATGGAACATTCTCCAGTATAGATCAGTAGACCACATCTTGGGTCACAAATCAAACCTCAGTAAATTTAATAAAATCAAAATCGCATCAAGCATCTTCTCCAAACACAACTATGAGACTAGATATCAATTATAAGAAAAAAACTGTAAGAAACACAAACACATGGAGATTAAGCAACACGTTTCTAAATAACTAACAGGTTACTGCAGAAATCAAAAGGGAAATCAGGAAATCAAACAATGTCTAGAAACAAATGACAATGAAAACAAAACAACTCAAAACCTATGGGATGCAGCAAGAGTAGTCCTAAGAGGGAAGTTTATGGCAGTACAATCCTACCTCAAGAAACAAGAAAAACATCAAATCGACAACCTAACTTTACACCTAAAAGAAGAAAAAAACAATAGTAAAGATTAAGAAAACTAAAAGCTGGTTCTTAGAGAAAATAAACCAAATTGACACAACTTTAGCCAGACTCATCGAGAAAAAAAGAGAAAAATTAAATCAACAAAATTAGAAATGAAAAAGGAGAGGTTACAATAGAGAATGCAGGAATACAAAAGATTATATGAGACTATTATGGACAACTATATGGCAATAAAATAGATAACCTGGAAGAAATGGACAGATTCTTAGAAAAATTCAAAATTCCAAGAATGAACCAGGAAGATACAGAAATTAAGAACAACCCAATTACAAGCACTGAAATTGAAGCTGTGATCAAAAAAATCTCCCAGAAAAGAAAAGCCCAGGACCAGGTGGCTTCACAGGAGAATTCTAGCAAACATTTAGAGAAGAGCTAATGCCTATCCTTCTAAATCTCTTTCAAAAAATTGCAGAGGAAGGAACACTTCCAAACTCATTCTACAAGGCCACCATCACCCTGATATCAAAACAAGACAAAGACAACACACAAAAAGAAAACTATAGGCCAATATTACTAATGAACACAATGCAAAAATCCTCAACAAAATTTTAGCAAACAGAATTCAGCAACACATCAAAAAGCTCAAACACCATGATCAAGTTGGGTTTATTCCAGGGATGCAAGGATTCTTCAATATATGTAAATCAATCAGTCTTATAAACCATATGATAATCTCAATAGATTCAGAAAAAGCCTTTGACAAAATTCAGCACCAAGTTATGATTAAAACTCTTCACAAAATGGGCATAGAAGGAACCTACCTCAACATAATAAGGCCATATATGGTAAACTTATGGCAAACATTATTCTCAATGGTGAAAACCTGAAAGTATTCCCCCTAAGATCAATAACAAGACAAGGGTGTCCACTTTCACCACTAATATTCAATATATTTCTGGAAGTTCT